GACATTTCAGAAGTCAGTGAAGGTCATTTCCCGAATTCTAGAAATCGAAATTTTCCCGGGGGAACTCGGACCCCTTTTTTCTTTGGGGTTCATTGGTTCTATTGAATCATTTTCAAGAGGGGGGAAACCTTGATTTTTGGAGTAATTAAAAGACACATCATAAATCGGGAAAGCTAATTTCCCGCTTCTAGGAATAAAAATTTTCCCGGGGGAGAACCCCGACCCCCTTTCTTTTTGGGATTGGGAAAAAATTACCTGACCGTTTTGAAGAACTTATATTAAAATCGCTATAAGATACGGTACTTCAGAAGTCGGGAAAGCTCATTTCCCACCATTTAGAAATTAACATTTTTCCGGGAAGAACCCGAACCTCCCTTTTCTCTTTGGGTTCATTGATTCATTATAATAATTTTCAAGAGGGGAAAACCTTGACTTTTGAAGAACTTAAAGTAGTTAAAAGACACCTCAGAAGTCGGGAAAGCTCATTTCTCACCATCTAGGAATTATTCCCGCCTTCTAGGAATCAAAATTTTCCCTGTGGAGAACCCCCGGACCCCCTTCCCTTTTTGGGATTTATGGATTCATGGAAAAAAAATCGTATGCAACTACTCAATTTTTTTTATGTATGTATACAATAGGATAAATTTACCTGACCGTTTTCAAGAGGGGAAAACCTTTAATTTTAAAGAACTTAAAAGTAATTAGGACACCTCAGAAGTCGGGAAAACTCATTTCCCGCCTTCTAAGAATCAAAATTTTCCGGGGGAGAACCCCCGGACACCCTTTCTTTTTGGGATTTATGGATTCATGGAAAAATCGTATGCAACTACTCAATTTTTGTTTATGTATGTATACACACATAAGGCCTATCTACTGTAATAACAATGGGATAAATTTACCTGACCGTTTTCAAGAGGGGGAAACCTTGAATTTTAAAGAACTTAAAAGTAATTAAAAGACACCTCAGAAAGTCGGGAAAACTCATTTCCCGCCTTCTAAGAATCACAATTTTCCCGGGGGAGAACCCCCGGACCCCCCTTTCTTTTTGGGATTTGTGGATTCATGGAAAAAATCGTATGCAACTACTCATTTTTTTTTTTATGTATGTATACATACGGTACATAACGCTTATCCACTGTAATATCAATGCGATAAATTTACCTGACCGTTTTCAAGAGGGGAAAACCTTGAATTTTAAAGAACTTAAAAGTAATTAAAAAACACCTCAGAAGTCGGGAAAACTCATTTCGCGCCTTCTAAGTATCACAATTTTCCCGGGGGAGAACCCCCGGACCCCCCTTTCTTTTTGGGATTTGTGGATTCATGGAAAAAATCGTATGCAACTACTCATTTTTTTTTTTTTATGTATGTATACATACATAACGCTTATCTACTGTAATATCAATGCGATAAATTTACCTGACCGTTTTCAAGAGGAGAAAACCTTGAATTTTGAAGAACTTAAAAGTAATTAAAAGACACCTCGGAAGTCGGGAAAACTCATTTCCCGCCTTCTAGATATCAAAAT